GGTGATGGGGCGGACGGAGAGCTGGTGACCCACAGGCACGAGGTGGACCGGGAGCACACGTTGCGCCTCTACGCCGTGACGCCCACCGACGCCGGCACCTACGTGTGTACGGCGCAGAGCCAGCTGGGCACCGCCGCCGCCACCGCCCGCCTCCGCGTGGAGGGTCAGTGGGGGGACCTCTGTGGCCTCCACCGCCATGGGGACCCAGGGTCATCTGGAGGTCCACGCAAGGGGATCCATCTAATGGGGTTTATCTAACGGGGTTCATCCAAGGGGGTCATCCAAGGTGGTTGTCCATGGGGAGTCTATCCAAGGGGGACCCATCCAAGGACGTCTGTCCAATGGGGTCCATCAACTGACTCATCTAAGGGGGTCCATTCAAGGAGGGTCCATCAAAGGGGGTGCTTTTGAAGGGGGTCTCATCTCAGGAGGTCCGTCTAAAGGCATCCATCCAACAGGATCCATCCAAGGGGTCCGTCCAAGCATGTCCATGTAAGGGGATCCATCTAAGGGGATGCATCCAGGTGGGGGTCCATCCAAGGGTATCCATTCAACAGAGTCCATCTAAAGGGGATCCATCCAAACTGGTTCCTCCAAGGGGATCTATTTAAGGGGGTCTGTCCAAGGTGGGAGGTCCATTAAAGAAGGATCCAACAAGAGGTGTCCATCCAAAGGATCCATCTAAGAGGCATGCCTCAATGGGAGTCTATCATGCGGTCCATCAAAGGAGGTCCATCCAAGAGGTATCCATCCAAAAGATCCATCTAAGAGGGATGCATCAATGGGAGTCTATCATGGGGTCCATCAAAGGAGGTCCATCCAGGAGGTGTCCATCCAAGAGGTCCATTTGAGTGGATCCTTCCAAGGAGACTTGAGGGTCTCCAGGCATGGGTATCTGGGGTGGGTGCTGAGGGACCTTGCTCCTGCCTGGTCCTACCGTTAGCTTCCCTCTGCCCCACAGACCGTCTGCCGACGGGCCAGCGGGAGGCTGCGCCACGGGACCTGCTGGCCGTGCGGTTGCACCTGGACAACGGCACCGCACTGCCCACCGCCGCCGTCTGGCTCCGCTGGCGGGTTGGTGTGATGTCAGCATGTCCCCAGCGGAGGGGTGGGATGGGACCCAGGGCTGAGGCTGGAGCTCCATCCCCGTGTCCCATCTGCCTCCCACCATGCCTCGTAACCCTTCCCATCCCCTCCAGATGTTGACGTCGGCACCGACGCCGGACGGGTACACGGTGCTGTACCGCCGCCTGCTTCCTTCCAGCACCTTCTGGGTCCAGCACGACGCGGGCAAGGAGCTCAGCACCATCATCCCCGCGCTCCGCAGGGGCTACAAGTATGAATTCAAGGTCCGACCCTACGCTGGAGGGACCCAGGGCTTGGAGAGCAACAGCAGGCACCTCTGGATACCTGAGGAAGGTGTGTTGGGCGTGAGGTGCCCCCAGGGATGGCCAAGTGTGGGGAGGTGGGTTGGGGGGTCCCAGGGGTCTCAGCACCGCTGTCCCGGCAGTGCCAAGCGCGGCGCCCCAACGCGTCACCGTGGGCCAGGCTGAGACGGGGAACGGCACCGTGGTTGTGAGCTGGGAACCACCTCCTCCTGAGGCCCACAACGGCGTCATCCGGGGCTACAAGGTTTGGGGTGATGGGGTGGGTGGGTGGGGGCCAAGGAGGGTCCATCCAAGGCAGCTGTCTAAGGGGGATCCATCCAAGAAATGAGCCTATCAAAGGTGGGGTCTATCCAAGGGCGGCCATCCAAGGAGTGCTTTTCCAAGGGGAAAACCATCCAAGGGGTCCATCCAAGAGGGATCTCGATAAGGAGGTTTGTCCAAGGGGGCCATCCAAAGTGGAGGTCCATCCTAGGAGATCCATCTAAGTGGGGAATTCATCCAAGGAGGTCCATCCCAAGGGGTCAATCTAAGGAAGGGGGGCATCCAAGTGGGTCTAACCCAAGGGGGTCCATCCAAGGGGGTTCAACCTAGGGGATTCATCTAAGAGGGTCATCCAAGGGGGATCCATCAATGGGGGGCCATCAAGGGGATTCATCTAAGGGG